GAGAGGGAGAGAAAGAGAAGCATTGATGTGAGAGACGCACTGGGGTTGTCTCCCGTACGAGCCCCAATGGGGCCTGCGGTCGAGCTCGCAACCCAGGTACTTGCTCTTGACTGGGAATCGAACCTGAGACCCTTTGGTACTCGGGCCGATGCTCTAACCACTGAGCCACACTAGCCGGGGTGACCACAGCTCTTGGCGCAGCTACAGGCTCGGTGCAGAAGGGGTGGGCGCGGCTGACAGCGGGGCCTCCTACCTCGGCTGAGTACTTGACCCCGTCCACGGTGTGCTCGGAGCCATGGTCGTCGGCGGAGCCCCAGTGCAGATGGAACTGGCGCAGCCGGTAGGGTCCACTGAGAGGGCCGCCCCTCAGCACTGCGATTCAGAGAAGAGGGTCAGCGGTGGACTCACGCCCCCCAACAGGCACCCTGATGCCCACGGCCCGGTGGGCAAACACGGGTGGGCCACACGCTGGGTCCATGTGTGGTGCCCAGGGAAGAGGTGACTGGCAGCCAAGAGCTGCGCAGACCCCTGGTCCCTGCCCTTGCCTGCTGTGTGTCCTCGGGCAGGTTGCTAAACTGCTCTGACCCCGTTTTTGCACCTCTGTGAAGGTGACCATAACGCCAACCTTCGGAGCTGCTGTGAGGACTGAAGGAGATGAAGGCCTGGAGCTGCCTGTCTCCGGGCCCCGCGGGGCTGCCACTGAGCAAAGGGAATGATTTCTCTGCATCTCGCCCCCACTGCACTTTCTTTAAGGCTCCACACAAGAGCTGTCACCACATCTGATTGAGACCCTGTCTGTTCCAACGGGAGGAAACGAAGGCAGAAGTCCCCAGGGAATCGACCCACGTGGACAGCGAAACGCGATAGTTCTCGGGAGCAGGACTTTGAGCCCGATGTCCAAATGCCTCAGCCCTGTCACTTAGTCTGGTTTCACGTTGCTCAGCCCGGGGAGTGATTTAGAGGTTGACATGGTTCCTAAAGAATATTGGAAACTCTCCAGAAACCCTAAAACCAAGACTGAGCCACAGAAGCCAGGTCAGAACAGAACTCAGCTCCGGAAAGAGCTGCCCACCTGCGGGCGCTGAGCGGCCCCGAAAACTACAGCGGCCGCCTGAAGCAACGGAGCGAGGCTCCGATGAGCTTCGTCACGTGGAAACGAGGGGCTCGCTGACCGCGTGATCCTGCTGGGCCCTGGAGCCGCCGCTGGCGGGACCCGCGCCCAGGTAATCGGGGCGGACCACACGGCCCGTCACGGGATTCGCCCCTCGCTCACCCCCCAAGGCGGCGGGCTCATGGGGTCCAACCTCACGGATACTGTTTAATTTTGTTGTTTAGCCTTCAAAACGGAACGTGACCAAAACGGAGAAGAGAGAGGAAAGAAGCAGACACGCAACGCGAGGTTATTGCTAAAGGAAATATAAATTTCTGTGATGCCCCCGACTTGCACCTGCTGGGAGGTAGGGATTTTGGGTCTGTTCCCCTTTGCGACAGCGTCATGGGGGATATTCGCTCATGTGCATCAGTAACAATAATGGTAACTCTTTTTCTTTTTTACAAACACAGTCACGAGAAGATGTATTATGTACATCCAGCACCAACACACTCACGGGAAGAGTCTTACCTCACGTGCAGGGAAACAGAGCATTTCTTAGGGGCCTTTTTTATTTCACGGATTTGCCCCATAGTGTAGGTAAAATAGAGGCTTTTAAGAAACATGTGATTTTTCATTTTTATGCAAACGCCCAAGAGGAATCTGTCAGGTGCTTCAAACCCACTCACCCAAAGGGCTCGTCAGAGAGCCCCCGAGGGACATGAAGGACCCGTGCTCTTGATTCATCCCGCGGCCCTGGCCCCCCAGGACCGGCCCCCCCCCCAGGAGGGGCCGCCCACTTTGTT